CTAGTCTCATTGTTCCACGTTTTGACACTTCCAAAATATGTATTCATACTGGAGGAATCCGATGAGCTATAAAGCTCTATTTTCACAGATGTCCCATAGAGTGAAGTAAACCTCGCCGCGATCGCTGATAGCGAGAGGCTTTCCGGGCGGCTGAACTAATCCGGGCGGTGGCCGTGTGGTGGTGGCATGGGTCGCGTTGAAGCGATGCCACCTCTTAAGAAATTCGAGGCAAGTTGGGGGGAGGAGTCCTTGGCCGGCATGGGTTCCCCTCCCCCACCACCACGGCTGTATCATTCAATAGGCACTGTAGGCACTGTGCCTAGGGCCTACAAAAACTAAAGGGCCTGCGGCAAAAAAAAAAATGTGACCACGTGTTTTTTTGTTTGTATGATAAAAAAAATGTAACCAAGATATATTTTTTTAAAATATATATTCATAGAAAGCAAGGATAGGCACAGTGTGTAGATACATATATATATACAAAGAGGCAGAGTCCTGTCAATCGTTTTTTTCATAAGGTGAGAGAGAAATTAACATCGGAAATTAACTCCCATCGAATGAGGGCACAGACTAAATAACGGACGTGTCAGGAACGACATCTCTCCAGCGGCTGGACGAAGTAGGCGTGAAAGGAGCGAGTGACTGCGGGGGTACGGGGCAGTAGCAGTAGCAGTGCCAACTGTAGAGAGATATCACTGAAGTCCGACGAATCAGAAGTGCCGAGGGCCCCGAAGAACCTTCATCCGGCCCTGACCACCACGGCTCGCGGAGGAAGACTGTGTGACCCAACGGTGCAGGGCGTGGAAAGTATCTGGACGTGAAGCTGACATTTGGCTTCTTCTGCGCGCTGTCCCGTCGCGCAAAAAAAATTCGCCGCTGTAAGTGGCAATGCATCGTGGAAATATTTTTGAGTTTCTGGTAAACGTATTTTTTTTATTTCGGTCACGCCAACAAGGAAAAACATTTCGCGCCGCGCACATTTTTTTGTCGTTGCACAGACTCAAAATAAGTATTCTTGCGGATCTTAACATTGATTTAAAAAATATATATCTAAAAAAAGAGTGTAAATACACACTTGGGGGGAATTTGTGTACGTACATCGATAGGGCCACACGCGGTCACGCCTGCCATGGGCGTTCGCTGCGTGGCAACTGCCGCATTGGACTTGTGCCAAGCGCCACCGTGACACCCCCCCCACCTCGCTACCCATCCCCGAGATACAAAAAAAACCAACCCATAAAGTGTTGGGTGTCAATAAAGTAAACCCGACAGCTTGAAACGACCTCGGACTGGAAGAGGTGGTTGCGGGGGGGGGGGGGTTAGATCTCGCTCTGCAATATAAGGAGCGGAGGGGACCCAGAGTTTAGAGACGCTAAAGAAATACGCAGTGTGAAAGAGGCCCTCCCAGGGACAAGGTTAGACGGGAGAAATTAACCGCCTCCTCCTGTATCAGTTGAAGGTTCTCTCCACCGTCCCGCGGTTTGTTACCGGACTCGATTGCGAGCAGTCGGAGATGTTGACTACCTCGCCTGGTCTACAGGAGGTCGTGGATTCGATTCCAACCCTGACGCCTGCGGTATATATGGAATTTGCGTGCCTCTCTCTCATCATCATTACGGTGGCTAGGAGATGTTAACTACCTCGCCTGGACTACAGGAGGTCGTGGGTTCAATTCCAACCCTGACGCCTGCTGTATATTTGGAGTTTGCGTGTCTCTCTCTCTCATCATCATCATCATAGTGGCTAGGAGATGTTAACTACCTCGCCTGGTCTACAGGAGGTCGTGGGTTTGATTCAAACCCTGACACCTGCTGTATATTTGGAGTTTGCCTGTTTCTCTCTCGCTCTCTCCCCAGTGGTGGTCGCGTGGATTTTTCTCCAGGCTCGCCCTCCACATTTAGAATTATGCGTTTACAGTATTTGGCTGCTATAAATGTACACATGATGATAATGATGACGATAAGCCACTTTATTGAGCTATCATTTGTGGCCATGTCTCTTCTGAAAATGAGCTACATCGCAGTTCAGTGGGCCTTACCTGGTAATTTAGTTAAAGTTTATTATTCGCTGCCACCGCTCTCTGGTTCTGCCACGTGTCGACGATTTGCTCCACGTGCTGGCAGCAACTTCCTCTTCTTCAGGAGCATCCTCAGGTGGAGAAGAAGTTTCCCAGCACGCGCAGCGAAACGTCGGACACATCCATGGCGAACGACGCGAAGGGAATGCAATCGGGGAGACCCCCAAAAACAACATATCGAGTTTGCGGAGTTGCCACGATGTTGGTTCACGCGCGGTCAAGGCAATCGTTGTGTTGTTGTTGTTGTTGATCCTAATAACCCTGCGATGGGCGTGCTGTTGCTTTGCTGCCAGAGTGCCGCGTCCTCACAGCGCGCGGGGGGCGGCGGGGGGGGGTCTCGAAGCTCCCTGGCGAGACTTCGCGTCAATACGCGACTCTTCTGCGGGACCTTTTACACCCACGGTCGCGTAAAGTTTCCTGCCCCCGCGCACAAATTAATTTTCCAGACAATTTAAGGTTGACGCACATGCAAGCTCGCCTAGGTAGCAGCACTGAAACCCGCGCCTCGATCAGATAAGCTTCCCCATCGCATCTCGGTAGCGAGTAGAAGCAGCTGGTGGTATTTATCAGATGAACCTGATATTATTTTCCACGCTTGCTTTCATCATTATCCGTATTAGTAGGTCTGAGCAACGTGGGACGTTTAAGTCCATCACAGCACGGCTACCGTGCGCGATACAAGAGCTAATGGGAGATTTCGTTTGCATTCATTCTTCATTCACTCATTCTTCCTTCACTCATTCTTCATTCGTCGTCGGCCACGATCTATCCACTGATAGACGAAGGCTTCCCCCAGCTTTTGATCTCATCGGCTCCATCTCCGCGGTGGTTGATTTTTCTCTCTCTCTGCGGCTGCCATCCCATCATCGATTTGGGCCTTCGGTCACCATCCCTTCTTCGAGTGGCGTGTTCTGTCTAGATTTGAAGTTTTCGTGACTGCAGTGATCCATACTCTTTGGTTCTTTCGGTAAAGTCACGTGGGTATAAAAAATAAAATAAATTAAATCACGACGTTTCGGGCGCAACACAAGCGTGTTCTGCCCAAGCCCAACGTTCATGAACGGTCCGGAAGAGGTTTTCCCATTTGTTGTTTTCTCCTCCGATGCACGTGCTCCCCTGTATGTCTATCCGTGTAATCCCACGCCTCCGGTTTGCGTTCTTTTCCGTATTTTGTTCAACTTAATTTCTCAACGTCGACGTGTCTGGTGCGATACGCGATAGCGGGTAATATGCACCCACTGAAATTTTTTGTTACTTTGGACACATCGGAGGATGTTGCGTTTCTGAACCAAATTCAGTTTTCCAAAAGCAATTTTCTCAACCAAGAATGAATCGTAACTTTCATAAGCCCTTGTCAACAATCCACGACTCGATGAAGGATAAAGGTTGGTTGGTCGGGACTCAAATCGCGGAGGAATTTTACCAACACCACCATCATTACCACCACGGAATCTCTGATCTCATCACCGGGGAGAGCACGCGACTGCGAGCGGCACCAACAGCTGCTCAGACGACGACTGCGACTGTGACAGCAGCGGAGACCGCGAATAGCGAAGGGCTTCCTCCTCCACCAACGCCAGGAGAACCGCGGGGAAATCTGCAGGCGGTGCCTGGACCACCGGGCCGCTCCAGTGCAGCGAATACTCAGCAAGTGGGAGGGGGGGCGGGGGCGTAAACACGAGCTGCGTCTGCGGAGATGAAGAGGCAATGCCTCCTTCATCCCCCTCCTCCTTCATCCCCCACCTCCCTCCTTCTCCTCCTTCCCCCCCCTCCCTCATCCCTCCTTCTCTCTCCTCCTCCTGGCTCGACCGCTCCAGGTTGGTTCGTTCAATGAGAGGAGCCCTGCGCAGCCGCCGATGGCAGCACCGCTGCTGACCGTGCGCACGCACAACGAGCCCACAAATTCTCTCTGTCGGTGCCGTTGGAACGCAAAATCGAACAAAAGGCGATTCGTTGAAACAAAAAAAACCAACGTAACGCTGCTGGGCAAGAGACACGCCGGTGGGCCGGGTGGGTGGGTGGGGGGGGTTAGCACATGTCCGTTCCACCGCCGTGGGTGTTTGTCCACCACGCGTGTGAGCCAACTCGGCGGGGGAGATCGGAATCCGCTCGCAGGTTCCATTGCGGCCAGCGGAATATTGTGTAATGACACAGGCGAAGGGGCACGTGGCATCGCGCGTCCCAGAAAGGGAAGCGTGATCACGCCAGCGTCCGATAAGGCAGGCCCGTACCCACCCCCCTCCCCCTCGTTAACTCCCTCGCCTGGTATGCAGGAGGTCGTGGGCTCGATCCCAACCCTGATGCCTGCTTTATATTTGGAGTTTGCGGCGTCTCTCTCTCTCTTGTCATCATCATCACGGTGGCTAGGAGATGTTAACTACCTCGCCTGGTGTACAGGAGGTCGTGGGCTCGATCCCAACCCTGATGCCTGCTGTATATTTGGAGTTTGCGGCGTCTCTCTCTCTCTCTTGTCATCATCACGGTGGCTAGGAGATGTTAACTACCTCGCCTGGTGTACAGGAGGTCGTGGGCTCGATCCCAACCCTGACGCCTGCTGCTGCTGCTGTATATTTGGAGTTTGTCTCTCTCCCCGTGGTCGCGTGGATTTTTCTCCGGGTCCTCTGGTTTTTTCCCTTCGAATTTAGAATCAATTTCACGCGTTTAGAGTATTTGGCTGCTATCAATTTCCACACGATGATGAGCCACTTCGCTGAGCTATCATTTGTGGCCAGATTGCTTACGAAGAATAGCTATACAGCTCAGTGGGCTTTACCTGGAAAAGAAAAATGGTTTTGTTTAGTTTATAAATTAGTAATTTAAAGCGTTTAAAATTGTGTATAGTGTCGACCCCCACCTCTAGCTCAGGCCGCGCTGCAGCGTTGCGTAACGGTGTGTAGAAATTTCAGCTCACGTCACTCCAAGGTTTTCTTGCAAAACGTTTTTATTCGACAATTTGGTTCAAAACAACGGTGACAACAGGTCACAATAAACTCTCTCGGTGTACGCACACATCAGGGCCGCCGTCACAGCGGCGGAATGGTCAGCACAACTGGACTGGGCAAGCCGTCACCACCACAGTTTGTCCATTGGGAGGTCGCGTGTGGTGGGGTAAAGGGTACCCCCTTTTTCAAGACGTTTAGCCAGCATGGAAGAGTAGGCCAAATACTTTTGAGGAGGGCGGGGGGGGGCTCTCTAGACTGCACCAGCAGTGGCGTAGATTGAAAACGCATTTCATTAGAACTACTCGTTGTGTTTAGTTTGTTGTCCTTCCCCGCAACTCCGCATTAGCACGGTTGGCTACGTACGGTGCCGGCAGAAGTTCAACGTGCACGCGTACGCACAGCGAGCCATTGCAGGGCTGCGCCTTACACGCTCTCGAACGCGCGCAGGTTTTGACGCGAGCGCACGTGGAATTGATGAGACGACGATGAGCCGGCAAAGCGGAGTGTCTCTCGGTTGCCCTTCGTGATCCCTCTCTCCGAAATAAGCGCGCTCCCTTCGCGTCAACGACCCTGTTAAGGGGTGACAATGTTCGAGGTCCCCACGCCAATGTTCTTCCACAGCCAGAACCTACTTTGCGCGACGCGACGAGGGCACTGCTAGCGAAGAGGCGCGCTTTCGGGGGGGGGGCGATAGCAAGCCCCGTGCAATTTGTAACATCGCAAGTGGTAACAGGAAACATCCCCTTCGTTTCACCGACCTGCACCGACCAGCGTGGTGAAGTTTAGGGTCAAATAACCGTCAATGACCAACAGTGGATGAACTAAGAGCTATGAATGTATGCATTCAAGTAAATTCTGCAGGCTACGGACACAACCACGAACCGCATTCACAAGCATCATCATTATCAGCCATGGTCGATCCACTGCTGGATGCTGGATGAAGGCCTGTTCTAATCTCACCGTGATGTTAACAGTCGCACAAACAAAAATATCTCAATCTCACCTTTAAATCTCGACGTCAATTCGCGACTTCTCTTGAGTGGACCGAACGCAAAGTCGCCATCGACACAGAAACATCGTGGACGGTTCGACGCAAACACCAAACACGTCGCCCGGGGTACGATCCCAGCGTCATTTTGATGAAACGGCGTCACCTCTTTTACTTTGGCAATTTTTTTTTTATGTAGCTCTCGCGATCGGTGTGCTTTCTTCAGGTTGTGTGGCGCGTGTCACTCGGAAAACGATGTCCCCCGACGTTTTGTCGAATCCGAGACGTGGATCGGTTCCCAAAGGACGAGTTCCGCCGGCGAAAGACGCTCAACCCGGCACTCGCGAACGCGCGGCACGACCCGGAAAACGCACCGCAGAGCTCCGCAGCGCAACCGCTAATAACGTACGCAAGCAAAACAACCGACGGGATTTTTTTTCCACACGCGCTCGTTCCCCACCGGACCGGACGAAACACGAGAGCGCGGCGAACTAAACTTTGACAAATTATCCCGGCTTTAAAGTGCACCGAGATGTCGTCTGTCGGTGAAAGGCGCGAGTGTGTGATCACAAGCCGCCGCTTCTGGATAATCTCCCGTATCACCCCCCCACCCACCCCCTCCTCCCGTCTAAATCCGTAGAATGAAATCGTCCCCGTCGGTCCCGCGTGCCACAAGAGTCCTCGGCGTCTTTGCGTTCGTCCCCGCGTGAAGATTACGATGCGTTTTTCAAGTTGGCTGCAAAAAAAAAGTCGCACAGCGGAAGGGGAGAGTGAGTTTGGGTACATTGGTGGCGGCAATGCAGAAGCAAACCGGGGCGAAAGTGTAGGGCCCCAAACAGCTCAAGGGGACCCTGGAATTTGTGAAGTAAAAAAAGAATAATATCGGGATGGATCAAATATCAGCTTGAATACAGGTCCTAATGAACATAAAATGTCAATAAAGATAAAGTTAGTAACATTCTCACATCTCTAACTCGTCCGCAGCCCTCTTATTTAATCTGACTACAGCTGTCTCTTCTCTGCATCTCTCTCGCTTCGGTGCATTGTATCATCTCTACAGCTCTCTCGTTTTCAATACAATTCTGTCCCATTTTAATTTCTCCTCTCATCGCACGGCCAGCCGTCTATCACCCACACCTCGTATAATTTCACCACAAAGCTGTCTCATCTGTTATCTCTCTCCTCTCATCTCACGTCAGCTCTATCCTCATCTCTAATCTCACCGCATCTTTATCAGCCCTCGTCTACATCTCTTCAGTCATCTCCCGAGGAGTTTATAAATCGAACGCGGCCACCGAACGTGGGCCAGCGACCGCCACTGAATGTAGGAAACCAATGACAAGCCGGGCGAGTGCGCCCAACAGGGGCGGCTGTTATACGCGTACGGAGTTGAGGCGACGCGATGCACCGAGTGCCGACTGGAGCACAGGTGTGAGCACCGCCGATTATCACGGTTGCCTGAGTGCGGTGCGAAAGAAGCTCAACGTAGGCAACGTGCCCGCAAGTGGCAATGAGGTGAGTTGCCGCTGAGGAATTGTCAAGTCAGCCGTCTCTCGGGCCAATACACATCCCAGCGCAAGAAAAAAAAATATCAACCTCATTCCACTTAGCAAAGAATACAAATTCTGCAGCCAAAAAACACACGCCCCTTAAAATATGCGGCATTTTGCGATGCTTTTATTTCCTAAATCGCTCCAAAAGAGACGATAAATGTTTTGCGGAGTGGTGCCGCAGTGGTTGGCGGTGCTGCAACAACGAACCCAGTGACCCGAGTTCTACCTACCGGCCACCGCTAACGTGAGTGGCACGTGATATCAAGACAATGTCCTGCCCCCCCCGCGGCTACAATTGATTAATTTTACAACCATCATCAATCATATTCGATCATCATCATCATCAGCCGTGTTCAATCCACTGCTGGATAAAGGCCTCCCCGTCCCCCCCCCCCCACAAAGCCCACCTTCGTCACATTTATTTTTTCGGTTAAATAAAAGGAGCGTTTCGTTCCGAGTCCAATAGCCGTGGGATGACGCGTGTGATTCTGGAAACGAGAGGTGCCAGGCGACGCCAACAATCACAGTCGCGTCGCGTGCATCGTGTGCGTGTGTGTGCATCGTGTGTGTGCGTGTGTGTGCATCGTGTGTGCATCGTGTGTGTGTGTGCGTGTGTGTGCATCGTGTGTGTGTGCGTGCGTGTGTGCATCGTGTGTGCGTGTGTGCATCGTGTGTGTGCATCGTGTGCGTGTGTGCATCGTGTGTGTGCGTGTGTGTGTGCATCGTGTGCGTGTGTGTGCATCGTGTGTGTGCGTGTGTGTGTGCATCGTGTGTGCATCGTGTGTGTGTGTGCGTGTGTGTGCATCGTGTGTGCGTGTGTGCATCGTGTGTGTGCATCGTGTGCGTGTGTGCATCGTGTGTGTGCGTGTGTGTGTGCATCGTGTGTGCGTGTGTGCATCGTGTGTGTGTGTGTGCATCGTGTGTGCGTGTGTGCATCGTGTGTGTGTGTGCGTGTGTGTGCATCGTGTGCGTGTGTGTGCATCGTGTGTGTGTGTGCGTGTGTGCGTGTGCGCGTGTGCGTGCATCGTGTGTGTGCATCGTGTGTGTGTGTGTGCATCGTGTGTGTGTGTGCATCGTGTGTGTGTGCGCATCGTGTGTGTGTGTGCATCGTGTGTGTGTGTGCAGTGTGTGTGTGTGTGCATCGTGTGTGTGTGTGTGTGCATCGTGTGTGTGTGTGCATCGTGTGTGTGTGCATCGTGTGTGTGTGTGTGCATCGTGTGTGTGTGTGCATCGTGTGTGTGTGTGTGTGCATCGTGTGTGTGTGCATCGTGTGTGTGTGCATCGTGTGTGTGTGCATCGTGTGTGTGTGTGTGCATCGTGTGTGTGTGTGTGCATCGTGTGTGTGTGTGTGCATCGTGTGTGTGTGTGCATCGTGTGTGTATATCGTGTGTGTGTGTGCATCGTGTGTGTGTATATCGTGTGTGCGTGCATCGTGTGTGTGTGTGCATCGTGTGTGTGTGCATCGTGTGTGTGTGTGTGTGTGCATCGTGTGTGTGTGTGCATCGTGTGTGTGTGTGTGTACATCGTGTGTGTGTGTGCAGTGTGTGTGCATCGTGTGCGTGTGTGTACATCGTGTGTGTGTGTGTACATCGTGTGTGTGTGTGCATCGAGTGCGTCGCGCGCTTGGCTTCAGCGGCCTTCCCATGGCACGGCCGGCGGACCTCAACTCGGCCCTTCACCTATTCGGGGTTTTCAAGAATAACAAAAAAAATCCTTTAACTGCAATCCTATAGGGCGCTCTTCCCACCGCCCCACCCCCCCCCCCCGATAGGGGAAAAATTAATATGGCACTGAGTCATATTGGGGGAAACAGCGGCGGGGCTAGCGTGCCGGAAACGCGTAATCGAATCACAGATGTCTCGTAGAACAAACACAAACACGCCCGTGGAAGAAAAAAAATCAATTAAACGCTTTTTGTTTTATTTCGCAGGGTCAGAGAGCGCTAGGTACTCTTGACACGAAAGGAAGAGGTCTTTATTTATTTTGACGTCGTTTATTTTTTTCTGGAGAATGCGATGTCGGGAGTTGTGAGCAACGAGCAAAGCGTTCCAAGGGCGGTGCCTCGGCGGTCCGTCTCAAATTATTTCTCAGCCCTTTTTAATATTCATTTTTATAGCCGACTGCACACAATTCGGTAATTCCCTGAAGAAATTATAGCAGCGCTGTTATAACACAACCATCAGCACTGTGGAAACTGGCACAGTGTGATGCCCATTAGGATAACCCACTGCTCTGCAGCGTACAGCCCCACGCCGTGTGAACATACAGCAGCCGCCACTGCACACGCGTGCATGCACACGCGCGTGTGTACGCAAACACGTGGTCACACACGTGGGCACGCGTCATCCGGGACGACGCGTAAATCCACGACGAGTGTGGCAGCGGCGTAGCTCTCGAGGGGTGCAGGCGGTGCAACTGCACCAAGGCCCGCGGGCTGGAGGGGGTCCAGGCTACGTAGAGTGGGGGTGGGGCAGAATTGGATGGGGCAGTTGCTCATTTCAATCCTTGCACAAGTGCCCTTTAAAATCAAGCTCAGCCACCGAGACCCATAGAATTACACAGAACCTACAGACCAGCGTAGATATATACACTGACACAGGACCCTTAGACTAACGTAGGACCCTTAGACTAAAGTAGCACCCTTAGACTAACATTTCATTGTTTTATTTGTATTATTTTATTATTTCCCTTCTACGTGACTTTACCGAAAGAACCAAGAAGATGAATCCCTGCAGTCATGAAAGCTTTAAATAGAAATTTAACGTAGGACCCTTAGACTAACGTCAGACCCTGAAACTAACAAAGGACCTTAGACTAACATAGGACCCAAAGACGTTCCATTGTACATTATCCCAAGTCCTTGTTGGGCCGACTGCAGCAGTTGGCACGCGACTTGTAGCCACGGCCCAGCGAGCGGTATACTGGACGTGGAATGCCGGCTGCGGAAATATCTTCTGGCGTCACTGGTCAGACTGGAGTAGGTGGCACGTGGAGGTATACTGGATGTGGTGTGCTGCGTGCAGGGCCGCTAACCCACCCCCCCCGGACAGATCCCGGCTGAGATTACGGCCGGCCAGGCTCTGCGCTTGTTGACAGTCGGTGAGGCCTCGACACGGCCCTGGGCGTTTGTGATGGGAACGAGGTTGGTCGGGGGGGGGGGGGTGCGGGGGGGGGGGGGGGGGGGTCAGACCGGTGAACCTTGTATACAGGGGTCACTGCGCTGTCTCGGGGGCTAGCCAGCCTCCCTCACTCTCAAGATTAAGATCAAGATGTCATCGTGGCTGTTGATGGCCACAACCTCACAGGCAACACTTCCTGCCCCCTGCCAGATCCCACAGCTGCTGCTGCAGAGTAGACACGTGACCTCCGACGTCCGAGCTAGCAGCGTCCCTTCCGTCCGCCCTTAGGGCTTCCCCTCGACCGTCGGACTTCGTGGAGGCCACGGCTCTGCCCGCGTCGCCCATAGGCCCTCCTCTAGATCTGCACGCGCCGTCCTACCCGGCGCAACCGTTCGTGCCCAAATCACCACCACGATACTCACCCTGCCACGTTCTCTTCCCAACCTCCAAGTCGATGGCCCTGTCCTGTGTTTAGTTTGTTGTCCCTCGCTGCACCTCCCATTAGCAGGGTTGGCTACGTACGGCGCAAGGTAAGTTCAACGTACGTACGCACACACTCATCACAACCGTTCTGTGCCCAGTCCACACCTCCAGCACGTCACCTGCCGGGTTACCTGCCAGGCTTCTTCTTGCACTGCTTGTTTTGTCTCGCCATTACATTGCCAGAAACCCATCTCAAAACACCGGTGCTCAAATAGCCATCGGATTTGAGTTTTTTTAAATCACGCTCGCCGAGCACAGGGCCCCCAAAAATAGAAACCCAAAGCGGTCAGCAACGAACAGCGCTCATAAAGAGCTAAGGGTGTAAAACACTTGGGAAAGGGAGATGATGATGAGTGGGAATTCCCAATTTGAGCGGTGCGAGGGAAGAAGCAGAGAGGGAAGTGGTTGTGACCTGCAGTGTGGCGAGTGGGTGGGTGGGTGAGTGGGTGGGTAGATGAGTGGGTAGGTAGGTGAATGGGTAGGTGGGTGGGTAGGTGGGTGAGTGGGTAGGTGGGTGAGTGGGTAGGTAGGTGAGTGGGTGAGTGGGTAGGTGAGTGGGTGGGTAGGTGAGTGGGTGGGAAGGTGAGTGAGTAGGTGAGTGGGTGGGTAAGTTAGTGGGTGAGTGGGTGGGTAGGTGAGTGGGTGGGTAGGTGGGTGGGTAGGTGAGTAGGTGAGGGGATGAGTGGGTCGGTGAGTGGGTGAGTAGGTGGGTAGGTGAGTGGGTGAGTGGGTGGGTAGGTGAGTGGGTGGGTAGGTAAGTGGGTGAGTGGGTGGGTAGGTGAGTAAGTGAGTGGGTGGGTAGGTGAGTGGGTGGGTAGGTGAGTGGGTGGGTAGGTGAGTGGGTGGGTAGGTGAGTGGGTAGGTGAGTGGGTGGGTAGGTGAGTGGGTGAGTGGGTGGGTAGGTGAGTGGGCGAGCGGGTGGGTAGGTGAGTGGGTGAGTGTGTGGGTGGGTAGGTGAGTGGGTGGGTAGGTGAGTGGGTGGGTAGGTGAGTGGGTGAGTGGGTGGGTAGGTGAGTGGGTAGGTGAGTGGGTGGGTAGGTGAGTGGGTGGGTAGGTGAGTGGGTGGGTAAGTGAGTGGGCGAGCGGGTGGGTAGGTGAGTGGGTGGGTAGGTGAGTGGGTGGGTAGGTGAGTGGGTGGGTAGGTGAGTGGGCGAGCGAGTGGGTAGGTGAGTGGGTGAGCTAGTGTACTGCTGTGACATGCAGTGTGGTTGTGGGGCAAGTGGGTGGGTGAGCTAGCGAGCGAGCGAGTGGGTGGGCGAGTGTACTTTTGTAATTTGCAGTGTGTTGGAACAGAGTGCGGATGAGACAAAACAGTCAGTCTGGTAGATAGGAGTCCCGAAAAAGGCAGGAGGAATGAACGAGTGAAGGTAGTAGCAAGAGAAGAGTCATAGGGAGGCGGCTGACCGCCGGCGAGCGAGTGAGCGAGCGAGCAAGCGAAACGGAGTGAATCGGTGAGCGCTGAATCATTAATCAACTGCTTCGTTAGTCCATCTCTACGATGCCCAGAGGAGAGCATCACTTTACCTGATAAAATCTGATGGCTGAAACTCCCCCCTCCTCCTCCTCCTGCCCGTGACTATTTTTACCTGCTGACATCTGCTTTGCCATCTGCCTTGAGAGACACAACGCCGCTGCCATCGCCCCCTCCGCCAACGCGTACGTCCTGCGATCGCGCTTCCACGTGGGTAGGTGGCCACGGGCAGCGGCGGTAGCGACCGATCCGCCACCGAGTGGGGCACAATAAATCATCGCGCCGCAACGTGTGATTTATCGCGAGGGCCGCCGGGGCAGAGTTTCGTTGAGGGCGGGGGGGGGGCGGCGGATGGTGGCGGGGAGTGAGAAATCATAAACAAAACGGTGGCGCCCGTTATTGCATTCCGACAAACGTTACGCGCGGCCATTGTTCAAATTCACGCGGTAATTCCTGAAACCTTCGGGGGGAAAAAAACAAAAAGCGTGGCAGTGGTGAGGAATGTAATATTAACCTGACATTCGGCGATTATCTTGACTTAACGACTATTTTGCATCACGTGTTTTATAGGGTTGCGTCGGACTGTGACCAGTTCAAAACAGAAAGGGTGCTTGCCTATAGGCATCGGGTGGTTCTCCAGAGCTGGTTGAAGCGAGCCTGAGTATGCTGATGAGCCGCTGGACGTCAAGACCGGTCTGGAGATGTCTTGTTGAACCAAAGTTGCTGAAACCGTGGCACTCCCAGAAGGATTGTGCAAAAAAACGTCACTCTTATTTTTTTTGTATGTGGAGAGATAAATGCGGGAAGCATGCATTATTTATTTTCATAATATCTGAGGGACGGGGTAAATCGTCGCGTTAAACGGCTCGTGCGGGAAGACTTTCGGCACCTGTTGCACGGCGATACTGGATGTGGTGTGCCGGTTGTGGCAATATTTTCCGGGTCACTGGTAGGCTAGAACAGTCACGTGACTCACGGCCGTGGCCAAAGCGAGAGGTGTCCTTGATGTGGTGTGCCGGGCGCAGAGATTGTTTTTACCATTACTAGAACACGAATTTAGCCGTTGCATCCTGCACGCGTCTGATGATTGCTGAACACGTCTTGCGTGATGTGACGAGCGTGATCCAAATTAAAGCGGAGAATCGTGTGGGAGAATGCAGGCGTGTGTGGGATGTGTTTAGCCATCATAAGGCAAGTGTAGTGTGTACGACTCAATCCAGAATTAAAATATGGTGATTCGGTAATTGACAGGCTATGGGTGGAGGCGCTGGGATAGTGGACAGCGCACTGCGCCATGACCCCGACGACCCGAGTTAGATTCCTGGCCACAGCTAACATCAGTGGCGATTGATATCAGAACGGGTGCCACCCTTTTGCAGCCAATACACCAACCCACACTGACCAGCGTGACAAAGTACGGTCAAAAAGCCCCCATTACCGGCACTGGCATGAGGGAAGCCTTCATCCATCGGTCAATAGAGAATACGTCACATTTATTTATTTAATTAATTAAAGAGACATGCCATGGTATGTATGTTGAACTTCTTTCGCACCGTACGTAGCCTGCCAAGCTAATTGGATGTGCGGGGGAAGGACACCAATCTAAATACACAAAAGCCAGTTCTAAAGAAATCAGTTTTCAACCCAGATGATTTAATAGCGCATAGCTGCAGTGGCATCTTAATGTCGGAAGGAAGAGCGTTCCAGACGGCCGCAGAAGCGCATCCCAGAAAGCGCGCGACGCGGTGACCGCCACTAGCCAAACGCCACCGCTGCCGCCGCCGCCGCTGCGATGAGGTCGTGGTGCCGCCACCACGGCGAGGAACGGGGTTTGGCCGACCTGGATTAGTGTATTTGGGGGTGAGGCTCACTCGGCTGCGACACGCACAGGCACAACAATGGCCCGACTCGGGCGACCCGCTACATTCACAAAGGACCGGGGCAACCGGCTTAACGTCGTCGCGTGCGGCACGGCTCGCCGTGTCGTGGTGGTCGTGGTGCCGCCGGGGGTCCTGTCGATTGCGTTAGGAGACGCGCACAGCAAGGAGAGAAACTGATTCGTATTGTTGGCTTCCTCAACAAAGACAAAGATCTACCCCCACCCCCCCTTGTGCAGCCTTAACAGACTGTTGGGGCAAGCGCTGTTAGCGAGTAGCACCTATGAAGGGCCTAGTGGCACACGAGGGGGTGGGTGGCCAACACCACACTTGGCCGCCTCTGTCTCCTTAGTGGCGATGTTTTACACACCGCACCAGGTACTCATTCGAGGCTGAGTCGACCTAGGGGAGGCCCAGGACCGATTCAGATAATCAACACCAATATGTTGGCCGTAAACAGGACTCGAACCCGGGCCCCCGGGTTCGTAGCGCAGCACAGCGCTCACCGCTACACCACCGCTCCCCACCGTCTTACTAACCACACATGGATGTACGATTTTAATAAAGTCTTCCAGCGAGCAGCTTGGTTATCCAGCAATGATAATTGACGTTTAGGGTGCGATCGCCCTGAAGTTAAATGTGTGTCGTATACCCTCCTCCATCCGACAAAGCCAATGAATCACGTTGGAACGTGAACCAAACGTGCCACGCTATTGCTGCTTCAGCACCACCGCCGGAAGTGGCTGGAGAGTGATCTCACAACATTTAACAATTGGGTGACGGTTTAAGGTTTTCCCATCTTCATTGCCGCCTGTGCGTCAAGTACCGTATCCGCGTCCGCCACACTGACCGTACGTCTCTTGGAAGAGGTGGGAGCACCCACATTTTACTCCACCGCGCGCGACCTACCGCCGATCGCCTGTGGTTGGGCTACCCAAAAATACCCGCTCGGTGGACAACACGCGGATGGGGAGAGGGGGATGGTGGGGGGAGGATTTCAGAAACTGTCCGGGAGATGGAATCGAACCGGTGACCTCTGGATTGCAGATCCAGTTGTGTTGACCATTATACATCACTGTGGCGGCATCCACGATAAAACAGATGCCATGATCATGAATATGTTTTACAATTATACCATGCGGGTCCCTCTGGTTTTCTCTCGACAATTAGAAACGTGCGTTCAGATTATTTAGAGTATTTGGCTGTTATTGATTTGCACATGATAAGCCACTTCGTTGAGCTATCATTTGTGGCCAGGTCGCTTCTGAATGAGAAGCTAATAGCTCAGTGGGCGTTACCTAGTAAAATAAAAAAAATGTTTATTTAATTTTTTTTTATTTAAACTCTGCACTCCAACCGTGTTTTTTTGTATTGTTTGTTGTTGTAACGTTCTCACCTGCCCCTACTGGACATCTATGAAAAAGAGCTGTATAGCTCATCGGATTGCTCCAAGATAAATGAAGATTCAGATGTGTGGCGTATTGAGCTGAACATGAACAAGGCGTGTGCGTCTGTGTTTGCGTGCGAGTGCCTTGCTCGAGTACTCCGCTCACACTTTCCCATACCTCGTACTCTGGCGATGAGATTGTCCAGATACTGTTGGTCGTTCTTGTCAGTCCGACAGCTTGGAGTGATGTCAAGCATGTAGTCTGGTCCATATTCTGTAAAATACTACACAAAGACGCAGCAAAAACAGTGCACGTTGCATTTTTTGTAACTCACGGTTCCTTGTGCAACCTTCTCCCCGTGCCTGATTTGCCGCTCTTTTTCAATCAATCAGATTATTTATTTATAACCGGGAAAGAGCGCATTCAGATACAATATCTCTTTGGCAAAGGTGAAGCAGGTCAGAGGCACTGCGGCATTAATCATGACGGCAATCGCAATTTTTTACCTGTAATGCGCGGTAATATCCTTTTCATCCCGTCGACATCACCACGAAAGTGTCCCAATGTTTCCTCTCTGAATAAACAGCTGTGTATAATGGAATCAAACACGATTTATTTTCACCAGCAAGCGTGTCGTTTGAGCGCTGTTTGAATTTTTATGTGGCAGTAATATATATCCATAAGAGTTTTTTTTTGGGTTAGATCGCATAAATATCTAAATGTGTCGTTAAAACTCGCCACCACCCGACACAGCCAACTAGTAAGGGTTGTCACGTAAACAGAACGTGGCCAATTCGTCACTAGTACAGCACTAACCGCTGTGTTGGAGAGCCAAGCTACAACATTTACAATCTGAGTACGACGTTTCGCGAGTAATTACAACTAGCTTCATCAGGCGACAGCCAGATTTGTGGAGAAGTCTTACTGTTTCGTTCCTTATATAGAGGCGTAGATGTGTTGACCACGCTGCTGCACTCTTGTGTCACGTGGGGGGGGGGGTGACTGAGGCAACGTACATTATGCATTATGCGAGCCCTTTGAACTTGTCCTTCCTGCCCATTGTGTGTACTAAAATAGCCGTACCAACGGTAATCCATATTGAAGTACGCTGCCCTTTGTAGGCATGTATTTAAATAATGTATTATTTGATTGTTCGCTTCCACGCAGCACTAAGGCAGTCGCTATCCGAACGGTTAAAGTTATTTTTTTATTTCTTTTAATTTCGATAGATTCTCTAATTAGTCTTGGCTAGTAGTAGCTAGTTTTGCACAGAACTTCAAAATTATCAAAATGAATCGAGTGTCCTTGTTGGCACACGTGTTCTGCTACTGCTGACAGTTGTATTTGGGAGAATTTTATATTTTTCTGATGTTCTTTTAGTCTCGTGCTGATCATTCATCCTGTTTGCCCAACATAACATTTACCACACGTGCAGCTAATCCTGTACACACCTTCTGTTGATAGCTTCGGTAATACATCTTTTGTACCAGATATTAATTTTTGTATTTTATGTACCGTGCCAAATCTGACTCAGATGTTTTGTTGCTCGTGTTATTTGATTTTGGTTTTGGCATTCCATGCCCTGTTGATTTGTGCATCATTGTAACCGTTCGTTTGCAGCGCTTCTTTAACGTGTTGAATTTCACTTCTCAGACTGTCACCATTTGACACTTTCTTAGCTCGATGAATGAGCGTCTTGATAAGAGCAGATTTCTCTGCGGGGGTGATGGTGTGACTCTGCATTCAGATAGGCGTCAGTATGCGTTTTCTTTCGGTAAACACTGCGTGTTATTTTCCCATTTCGACCCCGTCCGAGTAGAACATCAAGAAATGGTAGAGCGCTGTCAGCTTCCACTTCCACGGTGAACTGGATGGATGGGTTTTGCGAGTTGAGAGGAATATAAATATTTTTTTAATCCGTATATTCTGTACAAATTATTATATTGTCGCTTTACGTAAAATTGTTTCCCCAACCCTTGGGTTTTACCGCGCGTGCTCTTGCCGCCGCGACACGACACGAAGAAATATCCGTTTGGAACAATCGCAGTGAGCGGTGTACCACCCTGTGTCTGAGAATCACCCCGAGGAGACGATGCCACGGAGGCTGCATACGAGTTCACTCACGTGAGGTCTCGGTCGCACCGGGAGCAAATCCTGCGTACGTCCCTGCGACGAGTGCTCACTGCTTGTCAATCAAACCGAATTCTTTAAGTCTCACACAGCTGGAATAAGCCCAATTAATTGGAAATTATCACTGAATACGACGGCATAACAGAGCCCCGTGGTGTACACAGAGCGCAGTCTCCAGCTATTATTCACTCGGTCTCATCGGGGGCCTCTCTATCTCTGCCATGGAGAAGGGGCATTGCCCAAAGCATTCTCTTTCCGTTTTTTACTGGATCACGAGACTCCCCCTCCCGCCCCCACCAATGTTAGTTTTCAGTAAAACTTAAGGGTTGCGTCTTATGATCCGGAGAATACACTGGTCTTCCGGAAGACGTGTTTTCAATCAAATTGTTAAGAATCATTTTCTGGAAGATGTACATTGAAATCCTTTTGGAACCGTATGCAGCCCGAGCGTGCTCATCGGAGTTGCTAAACGTATTGCTATGGTTCTCCACAGCAGTCCGCATCACCCACCCGCAGGACAGAAGACACCACCAGCCGTGCATAATCATCTTCCAGAAGACGTCTCTCATTGTAAAGCAGCGCGTTCATCATTGCCCATCTCCAGGAGAGATGGCTCTCCATAGTTACGGCATTTGTCTTCCAGAAGACGTCTTTTAATCTTGTTGGTCAGAATCGTCTTGCCAGCAGACGGCTATCTCCCCACTTTACGATCAAATCACAGAAGACGGCTCTCTGTAGCAATACCGTATCCTCGAAATTATAAAACACACTTTATTTTCCAAAAATTACTCCAAAGTTTTGAGCGCATCCTACTTTCCGGAGGCACCCCCCTGCATCTCCGATGTAGCACAGTTGGTTACTACGTAAGGTGTGAAAAAAGTCCAAAATACGCACAGACATGTACACACACAAACACACAATCCGGCGAATGCGGCAAAATCATTCGCGCTCTTTAGGTGAGCGGTGCCGACGAGTACGTTGAGTGTTTTTTTTGCTGTTGTTATTATTCCAGCCGAGCGCTGAGCAGTGTGGATATCAGCCGCTCAGCCACTGCTGCTGCTGGTTCACCGGGCTGGATCACGTTATAGAGGATGTGGAAAAAAAACGTGGGGGCAGGGGAGAGAGAGAGAGCTGGAAGCACATTCCTGGCACGGAAGGCCTCACAACTGCCATCTGGGAGACCAGTTGTAAGGGACGGGCTCTCTTTGTTTAAATTCTAATCTCCTCCTTTTTAAATGCTTATGTAAAATAAAACCACACACCAACAAGTAAACGAACCCCGGGCGCATTTTCGCCTCGCTCCCTCCGTGCGGGCAGATGCAAAGAGGCATTAAGATGTGGCTGCACGGATGGATGATTTTATTTTTCCGCATCATAGCAGCCATCCTCGACGGAATAAATATTCACAAACTGCTTCGCGCCGTCGTTCAGGTTTCGGGGGTGGGGGGGGGGGAACCTGTTTGTGTGCTTTGTTGTGTTTTGAACATTTTTTTTAAGTAAACGTGCATTGTGTGTTCTCCATTAAGCGAACCGACGGCGCTAACATTTCTAATAATTTCAGGCTGAAAAACAAAAAGTAAACCTACCCATGTAAATACACCATTTGGGCGAGGGGAGGAGGGGGGAGCGGAGGTACAGTGGTTAGCGCACTGCCCTATGAATCTGGTCACCTGATGTAACGATTCCCAGCCACGGTGAACATCGGTGGTGATCTCTGAAGCTGTCTGGGCCACTGCACCCACCACCAATCTGCAGTGACCAGCGAGGTGAAGTATGGTATGGCTGAACAATCACCACCACGACTAACGCGGCACGGGGAAAGCCTTTATCAAGCAGTGGATTAACAAAAGCAGCTGTAAACTATTCGCTTATTAAATCAAGAACGGCAATACATTTCATATAAATGGGACCTTTCAGGTGATCACACTAAATGCCCCCTACTTTTCTTTTAAATCGCACACACTCCGGATTATCTAGGCAAATAGGGGATTAGGAAGGTGCAGGGGTGTCTCGTGGGCAAACGATGGCAACGTGTATCAGCAGACGTTAATTTAATTCCACAGACTTATCTGCCCTGGCCCAAGCCTTTACCGACGCACGCAAATCTGTGTGGGGGATGGAAGACAACGCTGGCTGGGGGTGGGGGATGAAGGGCGCAGTGAACGGCACAGTACCAAGGAGTGGAACTTCATATTACCCAGCAGCCCTCTCTCATGGGACATGCGGCACACAACTCAAGAGCCACCGCACAGCCAGGCAGGCACACGGCGGACAGGGCGACAGGCTGGCACGCACCGCGCGAAGTCAACAATTCACTTCAGAGCAGCAGACGAGAGCCGTGGGTAAGCAAGCCCAGAGAGCAGGAAGGCCAAGACTTTTTTGGTTTTTAATTGATAAGCTGCTTTATGCGCTCGTGGAATGTGATTAGAGACAAATGACAGCTTTCTTTACTCGGAGCTGCACTTTGTTGCCCTGGGTGGAGAAGTGGGAGGAAAGCAAGGTTTTTTTTTTTGGGGGGGGGGGATGAGGCGACGCACACACACGCGCGCACACACACGCGCACGCAAGACAAAGACCCCCCGTGTAGCCTTGACAGACTGCTGGGGCAAGTGCTGTTAGCGAGCGCCTACGAAGGCCGGCACGGCACACGAGGGGGTGGGTGACCAAACACCACGCCCGATCGCCTTTGTCTCCCCGGTGGCGATGTTAACACATCCACAGCAGGTACTCATTTGAGGCCGAGTCGGTCTAGGCGAGGCCCAGGACCGGTTCAGATTATCGCCGCTGGTGTTGGCCGTGAGCAGGAATCGAACTCGGATCACTGTTAGACTACCGCTCCCCGCACGTGCTCACACATTCACGCACTCAAGACACATTCACGCACTCAAGACACATTCACGCACTCAAGACACATTCACGCACTCAAGACACATTCACGCACTCAAGACACATTCACGCAACGCGCGCACTGCTGGGGAAACGTGTCTATAAGCTCTTCCTGCTGCACTCGCAGTCACTACAAGACCGGTCAGTGAAGTCAGCATTGTCACCCCCGTCGCACCAGCAGAAGGTTGCCAAATCCGCAGGATGAATGTTTCTAAAGCCATTGGATCGCAGAAAGCTCTCTCGAGCAAGGCACGATGGAACATAGCC